AAAAAAGGTGAGAAAATTAGTATTTGCTCTTCATTTTGCACACAGATGTCTGTGATGTGCTTTTTGCACATCCTAACATGAAAATTTGGATTTGTCATCCATGATTGATCGTCTCAGCGTTGCTCTCCAAATATACCTTTTGTTACTTAAATTTCTTCAGAAGTTTTTAATAGAGGGCTTGGAAATTTTAGACCTTCCGCAGGTGGAGTGCTGCTGACGATGAAGTGACTCACTCCTCAAACCAGGGGATGGATTGACAGCTGTGGATGCAGGGAATAAATTAGCATGTTTTAATAACACTCAGTCACTACATGGTTGTACAAGCCCTGATTCAGAGGCCACCCACATATGTATCAGAAAACACACAGTCTGTGCTCATGTTGTTGGCATTTCATTATTCCTTTAGGAGACGAACTTCACATCCACCATGCAAGGTCTGGAGCTTTCCAAAGCTGCTGTACCCCAAGCACAAATTGCAAAAAAGAGCCCAACATGCCCCATTTTCTCCCGATCTGATCATGTCACTCATGCTGCATCCTTTAAATCCATAAAAGGTCAAATGAGAGGTTTAGTAGACAAGAAGGGTAGAAAAATAAATGAAACATGAATGCAAAGTAGACCAAGTTATTATACCACTATATAGCGAGTGTGCAAGAAAGGGGTTACCTCCGGATTAATATTCAGATCATTAATATGAGAATAAGCATGGGCCATTCCTCTATTTTCTACCCAGCTCACATACAGGAGCTTCTTATTGCTTTTGTCCAAATTCTTCTCGAAAATCCTCGAGTCCCTGTTGGGAAAGCACATATTCTACCAGGAACGGCTTGACTTTCTTAAAAAGAACATTTGGTCATTTTGGTGCAGAACACATCACAGAGGAGATCCTATACTTCAATTTTAGACACGTCTAACTGTGCTAGCACAATATATGCTTTTTTTAAAGTATTTTGAGCATACATTTGCGGTTACCTAGACCTATCCTTGTAAATCATGCTGCCCAGCAGGGAGCACAACCATTTCTTTCTGCTCTGGAAATGTATTAAAACACACAAACACAGCTGAATTTTAAAGAGTTGGTCAACACGGTAAGGGCTCAGAGGCAATTTGGCTTCCATAGCAGTCGCTTCAGGATCTTTTTATCTTTAGAGAATTTATGTGCATATAATATTTATGGTTCATCATTTACCCAACACCCCTTGGAAAGGCAGAATTCTCTGGTTTCCAATACAATACACTTGATTATTTCTAAATTTCACCCAGGGACCTGGAGAGGTATGTATGTTACCTGGAGAGGTAAATGTATCTCTGTTATATTTCTTTTCACCCTCTGACCTCTCTTTTTCCCCCATCAGATTGTCTGCACAGTTTTCTTCTCCTAGCTACTAAATTAGAGAGCAAAGCTGCAGGTTTCCATCAGACCTACTCTTTCAAATCTTTCCAAATGCAATGGCAATCACAAACACAAACAAAACAAAACAAGCCAAACCAAAAAAAAAAAGCAAGCATATTTAGTCACTGCTCAGCATTTTTGGGTCTCCACAGCACCGTTGCCTCAGCTGGGCAACTAGACCACCCAGCAAGCTGCAGCTCTCCAGCAATTAAGCAGATCTGATTTAAATGTGCGTATGAGCTAAGGCACCTGAAATGATCTAGCTCACGCCAAAAAGCAGAAAATTGAACTCAGACCCCATCTAAACAGCCAAGAGGGCATTTCTCCTCTTTAAAAACCTCAGCTATTCAGGTAGACTCCAAATAGTTTTTTGTGGCAAGAAAACCTACAGCTGTATTTAACCCAGCCCTTAGGATATCACTAAGCTGCCTTACAATTACTAGCTCGTGGGCGGTGCATGTTTTCTCAGTAGCCTGGGTCATTGCAATAAATGCACGAAGGCACCAGCCAAGCTGCGTGCTTGGGTGTAACGAGCTGATTAGTGCCACCGGGGTGCAGCAGAGACACTGCCAGGCACAGCCACACTTTTACAGAATAACCAATATATGCAGGAATTTTGACTCCTGCTTGTAGTGTTTCACCCAGTTGTCCCTTATCAGGTTAAATCAGAGCCATCCCAAACCAAGCTAGGAGCATGACAGCTCCAGCCTCGAGGAACTAGCAAAGCGAGGGCTAGATTAAGTGATTTATGGGTTTTGTAGCAAATTTTGCAGCATTCAATCTATCTAGCACTTGGAGAGGCGCACAGCAGCATTTAACTCTAATATTCCTGAGTGGAAGAGGAAAGCGGTCACGTTACTGAAAGATCCCATAGCAGTTTGCCCGCACACCTTGCTCTGTGGAGACCTGTCTGTTGCATTTTGATTTAAAAAAAAAAAAAAAAGTATTTTTTTCTTAAAAAAAGCATGCTTTTTCTCAGTTCATAATATTTTTCCTCATAATAAAAATACATATACACACATATATAGGTATAGATATGTATAAAGATTGTAAAATTATCCAGAATTATATTTAATGACTGCTTATTAAAAAATGGTCCACAAAAAGGGATACTCCTACAAGAAAAAGGCAGCACTGGCTGAAAATGAACAGGCCATATGATCAAGAGGCTAAGTGAAGAGGTAATGAAAATGTGTAAAAGAATAATTTTATCATGAAATTTTCACTGGGAAGCATAAACTGTGTGGGTTAGGGAGTTCCTCAGCAAGAAGCTGTATGCAGCATTAACATTTTTAAACATTAAAAAAAAAAAAAAATGGTACCAGTGAGTGAGGCTTTTAATCCAGATGGGTTATTTATGTTTATCTGTAATATATCATTTTAAATAAACATTTATTCATAGAAAAAAAATCACGGGAGACCTACCACAGAGACAAATTTAGCAGAACCACTGTTATATTCTGCAAATGACTCTCTATGGAAAATATCCTCCCTAAGACAGGGTACAGCAGCACCTCTCAGGTCCGAAGCTCATGCAGCATCACAGTGAGGCTGCATGGTAGGAGGCTGAAATATCTCAGGAGTCTTCTCCTGACCTCCACCATTGCTATGTTCTTCATAGCAGTGCTCACTTACATGCACTTTATTATATATAAGGATTCTTATGTCCCCAGAGCTTAAAACTAGCAGGATTTGGCATTAGCCCTTTGGAACACCTCCCCATACATGCATGTATATGAGGTGATGCTCATGGCATCAAGAGCAGGTCCTGCTGTAATTTTTGCATTATTACTTTTATTGTGCAACTATTCTGGATTTTAAATGTCACAGTCATTCACCTGCAAGAAGGAAATCGTCTAAATATAGTGCAAGCCAGACAGGTTTGAAACTGCCATTTTTGAGTTACTGGAGTCCCTGAAATAATCCCTTTCAAAAATAAAATGGAATGCATTTTCCATAGTCTGGAGATGAAAAAAAAGCTGCTGAACCAAAGCAGACCTTGTAGACCTTTCCCCAAAATAAGACACAAGGTCTTTTTTTTTTTTTTTTTTTTTTTTTTTTTTTTTTTTTTTTTTTTGACTGAAACTAAAAACCTCAAAAGCTGATTTAGAGCACCAGGACTTCTGCCAACTTGCAAGAAAATTATAATGGGAGAAGAGACCTTCTGCAGCAGAAGAGGCAGCAAGTTTGCCGTTTTGATTATTGAGGACACCTATGTGTATCCCAGACTAAAGTATAGCAATATTTGTAAATCATAGTACAGTCCCCCATTCTGTTTGTGATACCAAAACAAATGTTTTCATGTAATTTGAACCCTTGCAGTTCATTTTTAATAATGAGTACATTGCACTTGAGGGCAAAACACTTCTCACACAAATTTGGAAGCTATAAATTGTCTCCATGGTTTCCCTAGGAAAACGCTGCGAGCTTGAGCTCTCCGGGCAAGTAGCAGAAAAGCGCCTGGTGCCAAGGCTTTAGTGCTGGCACGGAGAAAGAACTTTGCACATAAATTATCATTTAGAGAAGATTACTGTAAAATCAAACTGGGAGGGTTGTGAGGACCTCATGGGTCTCCAGAAACGTTCATAATAATGGCATAAATACAAAAATAGCCTATTTGATTTCGGGCGTTTTGCGGATGTGGTGGTTAGCAGAGGTACAGGGCCACGTAGGACATCATCAGTGACACTAACATTTTGTGCATGCAGCTCGAGGGGTGATGGACACCACAAGGCAATCTCTGTCCTTCAGAAATCCTCCCCCAAATCCGCTCACATCCATGAAGAGCAACTGGATTCATCTGTCCTCAGGAGAGCAGAGTGTCTTCTCTCAAGACTGTCCACACGTGGCCATGCTGCCATTCATGCTGCTAGGTCTCTGCACGCGTCATCCCAAATCCATGCACCGACTCCACTTCTGTCTCTTTTCATGGCTACAAAACCCTCCTCAGTGTTAAACATTCAGCTAGAGGGTATGCCCCCTAAGAAGGAACTCTGTTTAAGGATGGGAATGTCATGCAAAGGATTCATAGGAAAAAAAAAAATGCACATGACAACCCCTCCAAATGCCAAAAAACATGGTCTATGTTGGAACATAATGCTTTAATAAATCCTTTAAAATTCACCTGATGTTCTCATCAGCAGGACAGGGATATATAAGACGTATTTAACAACCAGAGATGAATGTTAGATCTCATCCCATCATCTGGGATTATTTATTGACTGGTATTCATGATAGAGGATACCTTTACCTTCTCTCATTTCTTTTTTTCCTCTCCAAAAGGAGTCTTTTTTATTTTTTTTCCCCCGTATAGCTCTTAGGAAATTGTTCCAGTCAGACGGGCCCCTGTTAACACCCCAGGATCCTTTTTACACATCACATACCTCTTGCTAACCTCCTCTCTTTCCCACCAGAAACATCCTCTCCAGCAGAGTTCAGAAAGTCTCTTCAGGAGCTGCTCTTACTCTCCTTGCAATGAAAACACCCTTTTTGGTTCTCATCTCCATTGCCCAAGGCCAACCTTAGGGTCACTCTTCTCCAGCCTCCTCCTCCTCTCTGCTATCAATGGCACCTCAATAACGTCTTTCCTGCAGCAGCTTCTAAAATGGGTTTATTTTCAGAGTTGGCAGCCCAATCATGGACTGTTTTTCCTGCCAGATCACCTGCTCACTTTACTTCCTCCAAAATAAAGGTGTTTAACCTCCCAGTCTGGCATCTCCTAGCTCTAGCAAAACCAATTTTCCAAAGCAATTGAGACAAGAATATCCTACTCTACGTCAACAAGTTCCTGCCACAACATACTCTGCTTTCCAGAGACACCATTTCCTGGAAATATTCATGGTTTGGATCCATTTTGATTGTGGCTACCTAATTAATTGCAATCATAGCGGACAGAAAACTACAGCAGCATCATTCTAAAGAAATCCATCAAACTAGGCTTACAATATTTTTCCTTTTTTTAATTATGATGGGATTTACCAGGATGTCTTAGTTCAGAAAGTCTTTACCTATTTTGTTTCAAATCTGATAGGAATAAGACTTAATCCTTCAAAACTAATGCTGAAAGCTGGTATCTGTTACGGTTATGGATATGTTTTAGAAAGGAACAAAATTGGACCGATAATGCAGTTTCAGATGTAACAGCCATGGAATTATTTCTAATCCTTCACAATACTTACCAGGCTTGAACAAAGACAAATGTATGTATCTACACAACCGTGATTTACTGCCCCAGAATCAACAACCTTACAATAAATATTGTCTGGTATTTCCTTGTGCATATTAATGGTTTCTAAAAGGAAAGCATTCCTTTTCATTACACGGTTGTATTTTTTGCTGCTGTGGGAGATGCTTCAGAGAGGCATATGAGGAGGAGGAGAAGCAGCACGGTTGTCCCTTTTTTCAGTGCTCTACACTCCATTCCCTTGATTCATCCACTTCTGCGCCTCCCAGGCAGGCAGTGCTTTGCTGTCAGTGCCAACAACCACCGGTCAATGGCAAACACTGCAAGATCCGTTAGAGAGAGGCAAGTAATTAACTTAAGAGACTTCACAAGGAAGAAAAGTGCCCTTTTTTCCCATGTGAAATCCACCACCTTAAACAGAAATACTGCATGTCGGAATCTGCAAGCTATCCATTTATAAAAAATCCAGAGTATCATGCTTGGTATGTAACTTCTTAAATGCACATGTGCATTTCTCTGTTCATATATTTGTTTAACAGGTCCTGGCAAGCATAGTATTGGCTTATACTGATCAAAGAACTTTTTTTTAAGGAAAGCTAAGCCCCAACCACTGGCAAGCATCCACATCAGCGCCTAGGGGACAGTCAGTCCAGAATTAACAAGAATCAGGCCAATATTGTTTATATGACGTGCCCTGGCTGATATAAAACCCAGCTAAAGCTCTACTGAGTCCAGCAACCCAGCCTGTCTCATTCTTTTTCACAATTTAGTGAAATTTGGCTTAGCAGCTAGATTGTTCCCATGAGGTAAGCGTCATGCCCACGGACAGCCCAGGTGCTATGCACAGAGGACAGAAATGGGGCAGTTTAGAGACAAACCTATGGTCTGGAGTATGCAACAGCAGCGATGCTCCATCACGCTTCAGACCCTACTTCAGAATACATTTATTCCATTTTTCCTCTTTATTTATGCAATTATGCACAACCTGTTGCACCAGACCATGGTTCGACAGTCCCATTTCCCATAGTTTCTGCTGATCCCATGTGATATATGGGTCAGCACCTCCCTTGCTCACATCAGAATTGCCCATCTATCAACAGTGTAAGCACTGTGCTAGTAAAAAAGCTAACATTCACTGAGATTTACTTGAAACACTGTATATCATGCAATGAGAAATCTAGAAATCATTATTTCTGCTGGGATCATTGGGAGCCAGAAATGATAACTCACAGCATGCACGTCCTGGAAGAATCACCCATCAGTATTGTCCATGCTTCATCCCATTCCAAGTCACCTAGGACATAGAGACATGATTTTTTAAGTAACTTTTCAAGTAAGGCTTTTCTGATGTTTGAGGTTGGGTTATGAGACTATTTCTTTTTTCAGTTTGTTCTACTATCTCCAAAGCAGCAAACAGATTAGTGGGCTCATTGTCAGGAGAGCTCTACTCTAAGCAAAAACTTTCCAAATCTTTGACACAGCATTAATCACTTATCCAGGCTTTGCTGCTATCTGAGCAGATGTCTAAAGCACAAAATCCATGCAGCGAGCCCTTAGAAGTTTGTATTGTTTCGACCGCCTAAGGGGTAGATATTTAAATTTCCTTAATATTGAGCCAACACAGTTCTTATCACAGTTACACAAAGCCACCACATAATTCAATAGACAAATTGTCTGAACCTAATTAATCCCATAAAATGACAAATTATAATACTTTCTTAAAAATCTATACCAACAGATAGCCAAATGGCCACAAGCCACATTAGACAGGGTGAATCAGATACCATCTGTGACAGAAAGGACATTGAATAACACGGTTTAGATGCAAAGCATATTGAACTGAACAAAACATGCTATATAAGAGATTTATAGTCTATAATCCACACAGAAAATCTGCTAAAATAGATCAGCTCTGTCACATAAGAGGGCTTTCATCTAGTGTCCAGGAGCACAGCACCACTTTGACTTATTTAGCAGATCAGTTTACATGCTCTTCCCGATTTCATGCAGTGATGATTAAGGATGAAGAATCTCACAGACAGTTGGCAACTGCAATAAATCAAAAAGCTTTGCTCAGTTTCGCAGTACATATTTTCATCAGAATTGTATAAAATAGCATGATTAAATTACAGTGATGTACAATAATCATTTTCCGGGAAGAAAGTCTGCTGTGATAACTTTTTCGGTCTTCAGATTTCACAAACATTTTAAGACAGGAATGTTAATTAAATTTTAATAGGCTGTTATGAATCCACTGTCAGGAGATGTTCCATATAAAGTAAAATTAGTTTCTATCGAGACTTTTTTGTTGAAAATGGGCCAAAATCATAAGCCAAGAGATGGTGAGATGAACCTGGGCTATATTATTCAAACAAGATCTGGCACGATGATCTAAGCCATTTAAAGCATTTTATATATATTCTGTTCCAGACTGTGCACCATAGGCTCTCATCAGAAATAGTAAACATCTGCTCATTTGAAGATTATGGACCACATTTTCTAAATTTATAGCACTTCAGTATATGGATATCAATCTATCTGAGTCATCAAGATCTGACTCTGAGCTCAAAGCCAGGCTGCAGGAGTGGTACTGGCAGGAGTGTCTTCTCTGAGGAGGACAGATGCTGATGTTAGGTGTTGAATAGGATGAAATCATTAGCCACAGCTTCATGCTTTCTTTTCTTTTTTTCTTCTACATGTCATACAGGAGCAGAAGAAAGCTCATCGTTGTGAGGGCAAGCTGACACCTCAGATGAGCTGTCCTCTTGCGTGGCCAAGATGAGACGTTGAAATGGAATAAAGAAGCTCTGCAGTCAATGACAACCCCATGACTGCACCCAAAATAGATGATGTAGAGCCACAGAAAAGACCCACCTTTGCTGAGACACCTTCTACCACACCAACCTTGATAACACCATGCAATGAAATATGCACCACAGCATTTTCTCCATTGTATCAGAAGTCTTTGGCATAAAACAAACCGTTAATATTTACAATAGCTTTCAAATACGGATCTTTGAAAAACTTCTTTCTTACTATTTAATCTGAACATTTCAGAGACTACCAAATTAGAAGCCTCTAAGGTCTCATGCCTGTGTAGTTTCATTTATTTAAAAATTAATTACAGACTGAAGGAAAGAGCTGTGCTCCATTCCCACAAGAACTGACTGAAATTCTGCTGCCTTAAATTTACTGCGTTGCAAGGTTTCTTTTTAATGAAGTGCTCACAGTGATTTAAGTGTGACTGATGGTGGTAGGAGAGATTTGGCATCATGATTATTATTATTTTATTGTTATGAAATTAAAGGGGATTTTGGGACAAAAGAAGTCTTTCTTACATAGTTGTCACACTAGAGTTTGCCTTCACTTTTGTGTGTGCTTATTCAGAAAATGAACAACTACTGAAAAGAAACAATATAGGCTCTCAAAGTAAAGTATTTTAAGGTATTCAACATACATCTGCAAAACATTAATTAATGGCTTATGTAAAAAAATAAAGCTGTTCTAGTGTATCATCACATTTACTTGCTTGTAGGCTTTATTCTTGTCCAATCTCTGAACCTTTTTTTTTTCCTAAGCTTGCTGAATTCACCGAATTATGTATAAATGTAAAGACACACTATATGTAAAGACACTGTTCCAGGGCTTCTGCTAAATCTACATCATGTCTTCAGGACAGTATGAGTCAGAGGTGAACCAAGGTGTAAATCTGACTTACTTCCACTTAGACATACGCTGTAAAAATTGCAGTGCACAAAAATATTTAAGGAGATCTCATGTGTTTCGTAAGAGATACAACCTTGGATGTACATCAGCTTCAGCAAGGAGAAATAAAACACTGGTGCTTCACTTCCAGGCTTCCTCTCTCTCTGTTCCTGAGGTTATGGAATTCTACCCAGATTCCAGCTTGGAGAGCACCAGCTTGAGGTCAAGCAAACTGAGGACTCTTCAGCTTTTCTGGAAGAAAAGCAGAAAAAAAACAGGTGAGATGGACTGTTATACCCTGCTAGAGCAAGAGGTAACACCATGGCCAATCCAAACCACACAAGTCATATTTTCATTTCATAATAGCATGTATTTTCTAACATGAAATGTGTTTCTCTTTTCATTGGAACACATTCAAATATGAATGTTTCTGCAGACAGATGTGGTTTAGGAACCATGCAGGGGAACAGGCAAGCCACTCACCTTCACACCCATCACATCAGCCCTGTTGAGGGTCCTGCTCCCTGCCAATCAAGCCCTATCACTAACGCACAAGCAAAACTCCAATTGTCTCTTTTAACACCAGAACTACTGGAAGCTGGCAATGCTTTCAAAGTACTTTCCAGGGTTAATTTCCATTGCAATTTTCACATATAAATTAAGAAAGCTATCTACAATAGTATTACAAATTAATGCATCCCATATAACTTACAGTGTAAATTTTAAGTTCTATGTATCCACTGTATTTAGGTACTAAGAAATAAATGGAACTGATGGGAGGTAAAGACACTTTCTGCTCTGCAAAGCTCAGTAATCCAGTGTTCATTAGTATATTAAAATTTGGAATTTTCCTCTTCGCTTCTTAGCTTTGTTGTATTTTTTTTTCCTACCTACCTTTTTTTTTTTTTCCTGTGCAACACAGAGCTATGAGTAATAGCTGAAGGAAAAGGCACAATTCTCCTGAATCACAGAGGCTTTTTCATTGCATGATAAATGTGTTGTCTTTTTTCAATGCCTCCACCTTTGCCATCTATTATTGTACATCGAAGCACTTGGAGTCAAGCTTCTTTAATTGTTTACCACAAATACACACAACCACTTACTTTCAAAGGAAGGTCTATAAACGTGAACTCCATCACTCCTGCTTATTCAGTATTTAGACAATGCCGAGACATCTTCTACGCTGGTCCCATCCTGTGAATACACTGCCAAATCAGGGCACTGAAAAGAAATACAGCCCTATGATGATTTTGCAAGTGTGTGCATTTAAAGGAGGTGATGCGGTAAAATGCAAAGCCACTGCACTGAAAATAATTATGCATCCATAATGAAGAGAGAGAGAGACCGTGCATGATGATAGGACGGGAAATGAGGTGTCTCTGAAATGAGAATGAATGAGGAAATGAGGTAGTTCTGGTGGGAATGGAAGTGGAGGGACACCCCTAAGAAACACTCTGGTTTCTCATACACCACGCAGCGCACCCTCTTCCACTTCCTCTAATCCTCAGGAAACTTTACTTGATATTCAGCCTAAGTGCCACTCTCCCTTCCTAATTTTAGCTCATTATTCATAGCTCTGTTCCTTTTCATTATGCTAAATAATTTTCTTCCCTGAATGTTTGCTGTAGGCAGATTTCTTTTGCCTTGCTTCCCAAAGCCTGTCATCCAGTAAATGATTTGGTGCTGTGCGTGTCAAACCATTTGCCCTTTAATAATCTTTCTACTCTCATTTTTTGGCATCTTTTCCAGCAGTATGTCTGCCATTTTAGGCCTCGTTTACAGCACTCTGTGCTATGATATCAACCAGAGGATATGACGCTGGTTAAAAGTCTTATAATCTTATTCCAGGCAAAATCGGCTGAAGGATCCTGGTTGAAGGCTTTGTACAGGGAAGATAGGAAATGTTGACAGAAGAACATCCAGAATGCTTTTTAATTTTTTTTTATTATTTTTTTTTCCTGTATTTTTTGTCAACTCTATTACTATTCTCGCAGGAATGATTGCTTAGCATGCAGTGCAATGCTCCTTTTGCAGCCACGCTGAAAGAAGCAAGACCATCATCTCCTAGCAAGAAACGCCTGTATTTACAAAACACAGCAAGAGCTTAAAAGCTGAAAGATGAATTACTAGTTCTACAGTTTGAAAATAATTGCACCATCAGGTGCAAGAACAGGGTGGAGGCTGCATAAAAGGCATCTGCATCTCTAAGAAGGCAACTAGTCCTTTGAGGGGAACGATAACGCAGACTGACATGGGAGGGAATATAGTGCTTCTCTGTCCTTTTTGGGGCTGTAGTCTCATTTTGATTGATATCAGTTTAGAGTAGGATGAACTAGAGACTGAGGAAGAAACCAAGTTTCTGTTCAGATAGAGGAAGATGCACTATAAGCTGAAGTCAAACACGCCTGGGGGGTTTTTGGCAAGTGGAAGGGGTTACAGAAATTCTTGAAAATGTACACTATGCTAACCTGCTCTGATTAACAAGCAAGTCCATCGCTTTTGACTCCTGTGCAGAAACTCATGCATCCAATAGACCATTCAAACACATCACATATACAACATGAACTCTTAACCTGAAGAGAGAACCACTGAAAAAAACAATTTGAAGAAAACTCGTTGCAGCTTGAAGAAAAAAAAAACTTTTATGCAAGCCAGCATACGAGGCTGACGTTATTATTAAGCAAAATTTGCCTTCAAAATACATGTATTAAACTCTATTGAAGTATCAGAACAGCATGTACATATCAGACAGTAGTACGTAAGCCGCTCATAAATCAGAAACCACAAACGGGAGGGGAATTATGCCTTGTTCTAACAAACTGTGATCAATCACTGAACGTGCGAATGTAACTTGTTACAAGTCAGAAACCTGGAACGAATTAGGGTAGTTATAACCTTGAGAAGAGAGTGCTGCTCTTTATCTTTCCGCATTGCGAGGAAATGAATTAGGCATTGATAACAGCAGTCTTTAGAACAAAATAAATTCATGTTGCATCTGTTTCAACAGTAAAATGAATGTTGCAGCCTTTTGTAATGGGGCTTTTTTTTTTTTTTTCCATGTTCAATTATTTACTGGGAAGAATTCTAAAGCGTCATGAAGGTTAAAGCAACCTTAAGGTATCTATTGAACTGGATAAGAGTGCAGGGAGGAAGAAAAAAATCACTGAAGTTATGCAGAGGTCACATACATAAGTACATACGAATATATATATATATATATATATATAAAGTTATGAAGTTATACATAAAAATGAATTCACTCCTTCATGAAGAGAAGATGTGGATAACTAACACCCACAAAAGGCAGGTGGTGTGTATATATCCGAGCAGAATACTTCCAAAGAGACATTGCAAACTCCAGAATAAGTATCAGTCCATAACTTTTGCTGAGGTCTACATTGTTCAAGACATTATTTCTCATGACTGAAAATTACTTTTAGACTAGGTTACCTGTATTTGTAGAAACCAAAGCTACAATTGGCCTGAGTAGGACTTAAAACGATTCATTGTTTTAATTTCATTTCACTTTGACAAAAAAAGACAGACTGTGATTTTAAGGAGCATCACTTATTCTCATATACGTGATTCCTTCCAATTGCCTCAACTACTTTCTTTTCTTTCCAGCTGATCGACAAAATGCCATTTGATTTGACCCTTGTTATGGATTATGGATAATGTGTCTTCCAGTGAGCTTTCAATCCTAATACAACATTATTTTTATAAAGCTGGAGAATTATATAGCAAGGTAAAAATATATCTATAATTATAGGTATTGACTAGACCTCCTTTAGCTGCTTTAAGTCAAATTCATGTCCGAGATTAGGAAAAAAAAAAAAATCTACCTTCCCTTGATATTTTTATTTTAATTTTGGATCATATATTGACTTCTTTCATAGTTATTTCTTCTAACGAAGGTTGGGCCTGTGAATAGGATCATAGTTAAAATAGGCTAAGTAGCGTGAGCAATTCTTCAAATACTTCTATTTTTAGAGAGAACTGGAAAGGAAAAGGAATAACTGTGCCAGGATCTTGAGTTGCAGACATCTGGAATCTAAATCTACATAACCCACTTTATGTTTGCTTGTTGGGCAAGAGGATCTTTTTGCAGTGTTTGGAGATCACCCTATACAGCAGGAGTCACATCTACAATTAAGGTTTCAGGCAGTAATACAGCATGAACAAATAGATATAGAGGAGATGCTACGTCTATAGCAAGACAAAGAGCCTGCATTGAGTTTTTTCCCATCGCATTGTCTTTCTCCTCTACGCTCATCAGGATATTGTCACTTAATCCCTTTCTGCTTCTTGGGACACAACAACAGACACAAGGCAAGTTACGGAAAGTCCAAAGACAAACATTAATCTGCAGCAGCAGCGCTCCAGTTCTCAGCATTTCCCTTCTGATAGAAACAGCTTCTATGAATCCAGAAAAAGTTTATTCCGGACTTAAAAAGTATATCTAAGTTCTGGAGATATGATTTGCTAAAACAATAAAACCACATTTCACATGCATGAGCCTACAGGCGAGAAGGCCTAAACTGCTGCAGTTTTGGTCTGGTTTTATCAATAGTCAAAATATTCAAATATCCAATCTCTTCATCACACATGGAAAAGCGTAGTCAGAAAAGTTTCTTGATGGAGAATTCTCAATAAACTTTAGCAACAGGTACTTTTAATTATGTAATTATGTTTATTAGTGTATTTTCATGGCTCCTAGGAGTGTTTTCTGAAGGATCTGAGGGACAAGGAGAGCTGTCCTCACCATGGTCATGAAAGCAGCTACAAGACCAGTAATGTGACATTAAACCTTGTGTTAGCGAAGGAACTCCTGCTCTCTCCTTTCCTCAGGATATCTACTTCCCTACTAAATACCCAAGAATAGTCATATTTTGCCAAGAGAACACTCTCAGTAAACTATTCTTCCTCCTCATATGTACAACCCATGTATTTAATCCAAAATATTTATGCCAATAGGCTGCTGTTCACTTAAATCTTTGGCAAAACTTTCAGTTTAACTTGAACCTGTCTTTCCAGCCCCTACAAGGCTTTTGCCATCCGCTGTCTGCAGAAAGCAACAAGATCAAATGCATTCTTCTCACCTATTCTTCTCTTCTTCTCCTTTCTGAAAGCATGACAGCCTTTTCTTCTAGCGTCAACCTTAATGGTGGGCCTGTGTGCAAAGGACCCAGCAAACAGCACAGGATAGCAGCAACTCCCTGATCTCATTGCACCGGGCGCTGCTCGGAGCAATAGGCAGGGATTTTTCCTTTTCATACATCACTCACAACCAGCCACACGGATTTCACAATGTCAACTCAGAAAATAGCCCTGACAGAGAGAAAAGAAGAAAGCAAAGATCTGTCTTTTGTTGTTATTTTGAATATTAGTCGTTCTGGCTAATATTTCAGATTTCATCGTCTCTGCTCTACTTCAGAGACTCCAGCAAAGGTCATATGAATAGGAGATAAAAATAAATAACAGATTTTCTGCTATTCTCTTGGTTTTAAAAGTTCCTCTGTCGTCTATAAACACCAAGCACACGTATCATTGCTCAGATGCTACAAGAGCAGCACTGATTATAACATTCCATTGCCTTGCTTTCTCCTTCAATTAAGAGGCTGAGTTTTTGAGCCACATGTTTGAAAGCACAAAGGGCACTGAAGGCACCTAAGTCTTCCTAGAAATCAGTGGAATTGGGAGCTGCTGTCACCATCCTTCCCAAATGGGAACTGTGGCCCAAGCCTGCACTGGGGCACAGCTTGAAAGGGAAAACAGTTCTGGGGTGTTTAGCATTGGCTAGCTGGGGAAGTTTAAGTGAACATATAACTGGAGGCAACCCAAATTTCATTGTTCTAGCAGAAAAAATGAAACTCTACATGCAAATCACAACTGGGATTCAATTAATAAATTAATAGAATACCAATCACACTTGCTTTGATTGTCTATCTTACGATTTAGCAAACAGAGAAGGTAATCTGTCCACACAGCTGAACAAGAAACATCTTTCAGTACTTCTGCATTGCACACCTGGAGAAAACAGCAATATCATTTTAGTCTGAAATACTCCAAACATCGGTTCTGGAAAGAGATGTTTGATTTGATGCTCCACGTAAAGGAACTACAACTAAAAAGACTTGTTTCAAGACAACACAGACTAACATCATGTCCATAACCACAATTACTTAATTATTAACACTACTC